GTAGAAGTTCTGAGTGTTACTCTATACTGTTTGTGTAACACAAAAAAATCTTGCGTGAGTGAGTTTTAGTGTGTTAAAGAAATTATTTTGCTTTGTAATGGTCTCTTGAAACTGTTGTCATCCTGGTCAAAATTTTTTTCCTTGTAACTTGTGTGTTGTTGGATCTTACAGGATAATCACCAGAGACATGGAGGACCTTCTGGTAGGGGATCTCGTGGAGGACCACCCAGAGGTGGCCCACGAGGCGACCGGGGTGGTCGACGTGGGGGAGGGCCTCCTCAGTAGTACGTGCTTGAGTGCGGTTAAACTTACAACCAATCTTCAGAGAGTTAGGAAGATTTTGATGGAGCTTTTGGCATAAAGTTACGAGAACTGACCTAGTTACAAGCTTGTGGATCCTGTGCATGTAATCAGTGTGACACTATCAACTCCCTCATCGTAGTTAAGCTAGAGACTGGTAAAGATGAACGACCATAATCTTGCACATTATTTCTCTCTTGAGTACAGTCATGATTTTCATCTCTAGTAGGCTACGGACAAGCTTTTCTGTTGAAAAAAAAAAACCTGCAAGGAATCTTCAGAAAGAATGTAAATTTTGTCTTCTTGCGTTGATGGGAGTGGTTTGGCAGCCCGAGGAACAATGAAGTTGAAATTGTGGAGTACATGAAGAATGAGATGAGCTTCTCTTCACGTGCCCACTATGAACTTAAGAGACAGGACCATTAGAAGCAACTTGTCAAAAATTATTAAACTGTATGATGTTGATATCTGATATCACGCGCCACAGAACCTGTGCATCAACAAGGAATAAGTTTATTACGGTCAGTGTGGTGTGTTATTAACTGGTCATACACAAGTAAACTGATTCCACTGTTGGGAATGCCAGGTTTCCTTCTCGTTTTTGTTGTCGTTGTAATTGTTTTGTTTTGTTGAAGGCAAATGCAATGCAGGAGAAGAGATTTCCTATTGTGACAAAAGTATTGTTATGTAAAAAAATAAAGCGGCTTTGGTGTATTAAATTTTATTTGGAGTATTCATATTGTTACCGTGCAACTGCTCGAACCGGGGCACCTTGAAAAAACTAACCAGTCAACGGTGTGTTTGACATGAAAACATGAACACTATTGACTCCTCTGTGTTTATATACACTCTTAGAGATTCAGTCCTTGATGGCGACTTATCACTTATAAATATCGCTTGAAAAATTTAGCTTGAAAACTCATTTTGCGACAAACTATAACCGTTGAAAAGCTAAATGGCAAAGTTTCCTGAGAGGTGCACAACACTCTGCTCTTTGATGGGTTTCATGGACTATCGTTCGTATTCTTCAATGTTATTGGTTATTTGAGAAAGAGATCGCTATCCTTTGTTCTCAAGTAACGTTCTGATTGGTTAACTCTTTTCCAGGTTGCCTGGTTCGAGTAGTCATTGTTAATAGGCTATTTTCTCATTGTCATTATTAAACTGGATCGGAACTACAATGAGCAACAAAACATGGATAAAGACACTTCGAAGAGGTCACTTGAAACCCCTGGCTTGTTACTGCTGTGGAGGTGCTGTGGTCTGTAGAAAACCAACACTGTTTGGCGGGGAGTGGGCAGATTTGTGCAAGACTCTAGCAGTTATGTCCAACTAGCTGAAGATGCAAGGGAATGAAGCTGTTTTAAATGAGATTCCCCCACATTAACCTCCGTGGCAAGCTACAATCATGGTCAGAATAAAATAAGAAATAATACCATCCCTACCTCAGAATCAATGATGAACTGGCGCTAAACGGGTTCTGCCCCCGTAAACCGATACACAAGGACCGCTACAAAAGACCCAACAACATACAACAGCTAAACAAAGGCTTCTAAAGAAAGGCAGTAAAATGGTTATTTTCTCGGTGTACTGGTCCATCAGGACACAACCCCAAAGCGCGTCATTTTCTTTTCCATCATTGAAATGGGGGGTCTTAATTTTTCATTTAAATTGTCCAAGATTGCAAACTTGATCGGAGTAAAATAAGAAATAAAACGGCCCCTACCCCTGAATCAGTGATGAACTTCCAAATCTAACAATAAACGCGCCATTTTTTCCACCATTGAAATGGGAAGAGGGGTGACAAGGGGTGCTTGCCATTATGCCAAACCGACCGGTCAGAGATCAGTGGGGATACCCGAGGAAAATGGAACGACATTTTCCTATTAAACCGGGCCAATCAATAGGTGCCAATTTTTTCCTTTTTCCGAATTCCCTGATTAGGGCAAAGAACCGGTTTGTCAAAAATGGAACAGCGAATTTCGGTCGGAATATTCGACCGAAATAAGTGGACCACCTTCAGAGGTGATCCCGAATTTTCCGGTCGGAAGAAACCCTTACGGACCTCTCCATTTAAATTTTGACCGAAGTTTCCAGAATCTTTGGCATAATGGAAAGCGCCAAAGATGCACGCCTGTGGCTAGCCGCGTTTTTTGACGGGAAATCTTACAGCCAAGCGACTTGGAAAACGAAGGGAAACTAAGTGAAATGCCTAATGCACGCCTGTGGCAAGGCGCGTTTCTCTGTGGGAAATACAGTAAACGACTTGTAAACGTAGAGCCTCTTGAACCTCTATTCAGCTAGTGTGCAGTTGAAAACACGAGAAAAATAATCTAATTCTATATATCTATCTCTTGTTATGTCGACAATCAAGAGTAAATTCAAGTTCCAGGAGACAGGGTTTAAAAGTGTTAAGCAAACCGCAACGGGAAAGAACGCCCGAGTCTGAAGACGTAGCGAGGAACAACCAGGAAAGATTTCGACTAAATCGAAAGCAAGAAAGGGCACGACAGAAACGGCAGAGAAGTAACAAAGAACAACGTGAACAAGAGAAAGAGAGGACCTGAAAAAATGGGCAAAGGAGAAGCGAGAAACAACGAGAAAGAGAGCGAAGAAGGGCACGACAACAGGCAACAAAGTAGCCAAGAACGGGAAACGTTGGCGGACAAAAGAACAATAAGACTGGAGAAGGCGAGTATCAGCTGGGTTAACGTAAGCTTAAGGTTTTATCTGATTCTGAGTTTTCACCACCCTTTCGGACCGGATAAGTGTGGTAAAATATAAGTTTAAGCTTGCGAAGAGGTCAAGCTTAATTTTTTTGAAGGAAAACATCCACTTCATGAAAGCTTCTTAAAGCTTAAAATACTTCACTGCCATTCATTTCGCCCAGCTTATTAGTTTTGTCACGTTGTCAGATTTAGGATGAACTTAAATCCGACGGTAGGTCTGCGTTACATTTGCTTGAGAGATTTTTGTTTACTCTTTGAAAAACAGGACATTCGGGTTGTGTAAAAAAAATTTCGAGACCGGGAAGGCTACGAACAAAGAAAGATACTAATCTAAACACTGGCTAATAGCAAGCTGTGTCCTGGGGCACTTTCCATATAAGGGTTGTATAGGTATTTGCGGACCCAAAGGTTATGATTTTTTAGCCGTTTTGGTCAGAAATAGGGTATGGATTTTGCACTCTAGTCTTGATCTGGGTATGTTTTTTAGAGGAAGCTACTCTTTTTCCCTGGCAGATTGCCCTCAGATGTGTGTGGTCTGTTTTTGGGCTAAAGGTATATAAGTATAGTGATTAATCAGGATTCACTTCACACATTTCTACTCCTCCTGAACCTGGATGGATATTCTAGTTGAGAGCAGGGTTACACCCCAGCATTTAATTCGCCAGCACCAGTAGAGAAATACTCTGAAAGTAAAGTATTTGTTTTTTAAGAGTACAACACATTGACTCGGTCCAATTTGGCAGTCCTCGAATCCACACACTTCACTTGTTTATAGTCTGGTGCACTTAAATGATTAAACTACCATGCCCCAATTCCAGAAGAATTTTAAAATATCCATACCCACTCTCATGGAAGGTCACTAGAAATTTCAAGGAGGCTGTTGCTGCCACAAAGCAAAATTGTAAGAGAAAACTAATGAAAGTGGACTTTCCAGATGGGTGGGGCGTTCGAACCAAAAAACCTTTTGTGGATGGGTGTGGCTATATCCTAGACCAATAATGTTAAGTCAGTCTCCTCTGCAGATGCTGTTTAGGCTCATCACACAAATATCTGCTCCACCCTGAGGAGAAATGCATTATGAGCCAAAAAGATGTCTGCATAGGAGACTTATGCACATGTTGAGTTTGCTTTGAAAATTTATTTCACCGAAAACAAATGTTCATTAACAATTTAACAAGACAACAATAATTTGCAGCAGCTTTACAATAAATTCTGCTGACTTTTTCATCACTGACTACAAATTTAAAACGTTCATTACCTGAGGTACTGAAATTCCTAGAGGCTATCAAGGCTTGATATAACTAACTGGTATAACTGAGGGCAACCATTGGCCAATCACTGCATGCAAAAACAACAACACCAACAACAACCTCCTCTATTACTAGGGTGGCCAGGCTCTTGCCTGTTCTTTCAATGAACCTGCAGGACTTCCGAGTCACAAGATAGACTGGGAGGAGAAGAGTTAAATGTGGACACTCTCGCAGAGGGCTTACTGCAGACCTCCTTTTATTGTACCCTTCCTTATAATCAATTCATGCCATTTTATATGCATTGGGTAGCCTCTTTTCCCTTTTTGACTAAGAATGTGTGATTGACCATAACAATACCTACATATTAAGGAGGCCAGGATTTCCCTTATTGACCAATTTTAACTTTTTCTCTAAGACATGTTATTATTTTACTGTAAAGTGGCATAAAGGAAAGAGCAAATCAAACTAATATAGTTTTTATTTTTTGGACTGTGAAAATGAATTCTTTTCAAACCCCGACCTATTTCACAAACAAAACAATTTAGCAATCTTATGTAATGGTTTACGACAGTGAAGTTATAGAATGGATGTTAATGCTCCACTGACACACTCTTCAATAACAAATGTGTTTGAGGACAATTTAGATGTCATATCATCTCCACACTCAACAATTGTTTCTGTTACCAACTCAACATCACACTCTACAGTTTCTTCCTTGTTTTCCCTTGCTTTGTTTTTCCTTTTCCTTGTAATTTTCTTCTTCTCCTGCCTGTTTGGCGCCTTACGGCACCAATTTTTCTTAAGGTGTAATGTGACATTACTGCGTTGGTTATATCTTCGTCCACAATATGGACAGGGGAAAGGTCGTTCTCCTGTGTGGATAAGCTGATGACGTTTCAGGCGTGACAGTGTTGAAAAACCTTTGTTACAAGTTGGACATCTAAGGTAAGAAAAATAATGTGATTGAACAAAATTTGTTAGACAAATAAAAATTGTATTACATACATTTTTTATGTATTTATGACAATTTAATGACACTCATTTAATATACAAATAAACAAATGCAGATAAGGCATAAAGATGGTTCAGAAAAGAGTCTTATTATATCTTTCAGTTATATTTTATATTTCTCACTTTGTTGTTATTTCTAACTAGGTAATTTTTTTGAGGACCTTTCTGTAAACCACTCAACTGTGATGTTGGTATCCTCATTAAAGATTACTACCACTACTACTACTACTATGTGTGCTGTGATTGGTCAATTTATTCTACTGTGTGGCCTGCTAAAATTTAAAGCTGTTTTTGTTGCCAAAATGTTTCATGATTTATTGCCAAGTGTTCTTAACTTTTATGGCAAGTAAAAATTGAAAACTTTTTGTTGCTTCTAAAGTTGTGCATTAAAACCTGCTAAGACTTACGAGTCACTTAACATTGATTTCAAATTGACTCATTTTGCTTTTGATTTGCGTTAGAAATTTGAAGCCGTTCCACATGAATAGAAATCGTTCCCAAACCTGGCAGACACACAGTAGAGATTCTTGGTCAGTACTGTAAGTTATGGATCCTCATTTATGGCCCGCATACATCACGTTTGGGCCATAAATCAATGTGGAAAAAAACTTGGTCTGTAACTTACAGTACAGCCCTTGAACTCAGTTAGTAAGAGGTATATAGACCCGGCACTCAAGACAGACCACCTACATTATAAAGATATGAAAAAAATATTAAAATAAATATGGTCAAACCTCTATTGAGCAGCCACCGCTAATTAAGTGGACAGTTATTAAAGTCCCAAAATTATTGTCAGTTAAATACTGTAAATAAAACCCCTACTAACTGGCTACCTCAATTAAGTGGCCATGGCCACCTTTTGGTAGTCCCAATAAGGATTTTTCTATTGTCTTTACCCCTAACAAACAGCCATCCAAATTGAAAACTTTGTTTTGAAAAATGCAATGGCAGATTAGGGCTGCCATTAAGTTTTTAGTCACCTGTAGCCTTATTCTCCACACCCATAGCAAATTTGTTACTTTGTGGGTAGATTCTATCAACAACAGGCAATTTCACCCATAACATCAAGGGTTACGGCCTTTAATGCCAGCCCTGCAGATAAGTGTCTGAAGTAGAAGGTGACGAGTGATAAAAATATTCAAACACGCGTTTATCATGATTGTCTCAAGGCCACCCAATGTTCACTAAGAAATCAACCTGATGGTGAAAAATATTCAAGGTACACCAACCTCTATTAAGCGACCATCTCCCATTTCTCCGAGGGTGGTTTGACTGTATATGCTATAAGCTTGTATAGTCTTAAAGATAACTACCCATATCACCTCCCCCAAAAAGTAATTAAATATGAAGTACAAAACAAAAAAAAAACTTAATGCTTACTTGTTTTGTGGGTCATTAGTGTGCACTAAGCAATGATCTTTCATAGTTCGTCTATAGCGGAAACTCATTCCACATGTGTCACAGGAGAATGGCTTTTCTCCAGTGTGAACAAGCAGGTGTTGCTTTAAAGAATTTTTACTTGTGTAGCATTTGCCACACTGTGAGTAGCTGCAAATGTATGGTCTTTCTCCAGTGTGTGATCGCATGTGTTTTGTGACATCGTTCTTGGTGGCAAATGCCTTTGAACATATTGGGCACTTGTGTGGTTTGGTCCCAGAATGCATTCGTTGCCAGTGTCTTCTGCAGGTTGAGTTTAACCTGAATTTCATGTCACATATGTCACATTTGTAGGGCTTATCACCTAGATGTAAGCAAAAAGAAAGTTTGTACTGGTCAACAGCTAAAATGTTCCTGTTCAATAGTTAATAAGGACTGGAAGAGCTTGAGATGGTTTGCTGAGGAGGACTATGTACTAATTAATTTATAGATTTAGCCAAGCCTAAAAAGGGAGCTCCTGATTGCAATAATTAGCCATAAGGGAAAAAGGGGATTTGTTTTTCTTGAATCAGAAACTCAAAAAATGATCAATTGTGAGCATTTTATTGTTCAGCGTGTGGTTTTGCTATTTTTTCCAGTTAANTTATTCTCCACACCCATAGCAAATTTGTTACTTTGTGGGTAGATTCTATCAACAACAGGCAATTTCACCCATAGCATCAAGGGTTACGGCCTTTAATGCCAGCCCTGCAGATAAGTGTCTGAAGTAGAAGGTGACGAGTGATAAAAATATTCAAACACGCGTTTATCATGATTGTCTTAAGGCCACCCAATGTTCACTAAGAAATCAACCTGATGGTGAAAAATATTAAGGTACACCAACCTCTATTAAGCGACCATCTCCCATTTCCCTGAGGGTGGTTTGACTGTATATGCTATAAGCTTGTATAGTCTTAAAGATAACTACCCATCTCACCTCCCCAAAAAAGTGATTAAATATGAAGTACAAAACAAAAGAAAAACTTAATGCTTACTTGTTTTGTGGGTCATTAGTGTGCACTAAGCAATGATCTTTCATAGTTCGTCTATAGCGGAAACTCATTCCACATGTGTCACAGGAGAATGGCTTTTCTCCAGTGTGAACAAGCAGGTGTTGCTTTAAAGAATTTTTACTTGTGTAGCATTTGCCACACTGTGAGTAGCTGCAAATGTATGGTCTTTCTCCAGTGTGTGATCGCATGTGTTTTGTGACATCGTTCTTGGTGGCAAATGCCTTTGAACATATTGGGCACTTGTGTGGTTTGGTCCCAGAATGCATTCGTTGCCAGTGTCTTCTGCAGGTTGAGTTTAACCTGAATTTCATGTCACATATGTCACATTTGTAGGGCTTATCACCTAGATGTAAGCAAAAAGAAAGTTTGTACTGGTCAACAGCTAAAATGTTCCTGTTCAATAGTTAATAAGGACTGGAAGAGCTTGAGATGGTTTGCTGAGGAGGACTATGTACTAATTAATTTATAGATTTAGCCAAGCCTAAAAAGGGAGCTCCTGATTGCAATAATTAGCCATAAGGGAAAAAGGGGATTTGTTTTTCTTGAATCAGAAACTCAAAAAATGATCAATTGTGAGCATTTTATTGTTCAGCGTGTGGTTTTGCTATTTTTTCCAGTTAAATTCTAACAAACTATACCCAATAAGCATAGCCAAGACTGCAGAAATTACGTACGCAATATATCAGGGACTTTCCAAGAGAAATAAATAAAGAAATAACCTGACTTGAACCTGTGATTCAATCGAAAACCAATTCCTGGCCAGCAGACAACTCAAAAAAAAAAAAA